TAAAATAAACAATTTTTTAAAATAAAAAATTAATTTATATGTCATACTTAATAGTATTGGAGAGAGAGAGAGAGAGAGAGAATATTAATGAAAACATTATATTAAAATGTATATTTTTATAAATTACAAAAAATAATTTTAACAATATTTTTACTTTTTAGTATTCTCTCATATATTAAAAGCTTGGGCTTAACGGGCCTTGTAATCAGTTTGTCAGTATTTTATATAGCACGATTCTACATAAGATTATATAATTATCCACCCGGTCCACTTCCATTACCAATACTTGGAAATATTCTAGGTAGGTACTTATATTAATTTGCTTAATTATACTGTATAATTTATACACTAACCACGATATTATACGCATCACGAACGGGTATATATCCAGGAAAAATAGTTTATTACATAGATGCTATTATACAGTTGAACAATCAAATTTAATTTGTATCGTAGCATTTCGCAACTATAAACGACATTGGTCGCAAGAGATTCTAAAGTTCAAAGAGATCTACGGCCCTGTGTTTACCCTATGGATTGGTTGCGTGCCGTTTGTATTCATATGCGACATCGATATGGCTCGCGATGCGTTTGGTAAAAGTGAATTTTCTGGACGTCCAGCACTTTTAATTGGTAATATTGCGTGAATTTGCTAAAATTCATCTGTATTATTTAATATTACATAAATCTGAGCAACCAGTATAGCTCATGATTAAAACTTGACAAAAAACAATTTTTATAACTTACACAACAACATGTTTTTATAAGTTTATAATTTGACTAGAAAATTAGTATTAATAATAAGTAGTACATAAAATTATTTGTTATAAGAACACTCTAATATCACATATATAAAGTATATATAAATAATATATATATATTATTTACAATAGTTTAGTTTTAATTTTATTTATATAATCTAGCCACAATCTTCTGTACTAAAAAGCGTAAAGATGTTTGTTTTAACGATTATAATAAAAGTTGGATTAGTTTACGCCGAGTGTCGTACATAGCTCTCCGGTAAGTATTATACAACTCTCTCTCTCTCTCTCTCTCTCTCTCTCTCTCAATCAACCAATCAATTGTATGTAAAAATTGTTAACTAATACTTTAGAAACTACGCCAAAACTATAACATTGTCTGAAGTGGTGGCCGAAAATGTACGTCAAATGATTGACAACATTACCACTATTGAAGGCATCGGTACACCATTTAAGCCCAACCTCTATGTATACAACTTAACTGTCAGTATAATGGGTTCCATATTATTCAGCAAAAAGTATATTTTCAATTATTTATATAATTGTCAAATTAAATTATTTAATTTCTAACATCACGTAGAATTGGCATCAATCAGCCGGAACTGCACAAATATAAATACCTAACCACAGATTTTCAAACTGATCTTGGTAACTCGATGTTTCTCTATGACTTTATACCGGGTGCACAATATTTTATGGCCAACCCTATGGTTAAATATCAAGCAATTTATGATGAAATGCTTATTTATGCGCAAAATTTGTACGAAAATCACGTAATAACGTATGACAGCAATAATTTGCGTGACGTTTGCGATGCAGTTATCGCCGCTAAACACGAGGCCATTGCCGACGACAAGCAAACGGCACAATACCTAACCGATGATAATCTTGTGACTACAATGTGTGGTCTCTTGAATGGTATTTAATTTATTTTAATTAATTCACCATATGATTTATGTTTGATTAATAAATATTAGGGCTATTCTAAACCTTTGTACTCTAACCATGTTTATAGCGCAGAAAAAAATTAATTATCTGTTTATTTAGTTTTATTACTATTAATAATGTGATAATAATTTGACACTAAAAAATATTCATAACTTAATACAATATATAATAAATACTTTACAATACAATACCTATTATTACAATACGATACCTATTGTATCTACAGCTGGCGTGGAGACAACGCAGGACACAATGCAATGGATAATGCTATACATAGCCTATTACCCCGATTATCAGCAAAAGTTACGCAACGAGATTAGCCGTGAGATCGGCGATCGGGTGCCAGTGGTTGAGGACAAGTCACGGCTCAACTATACGCTCGCGTTTATGACCGAAATATTACGGCACAGGAATGCAGTGCCGATTGGAAATTTTCACCGAACTGTTGTCGACACACAACTGGGTATTTGATTGTTTAAAAATTTTATAGTATTTTACCATAATTATTTTTTACACGTAAAATGTATATTGGATTGAACGTAATTTAAAATAATCATCATGTGTAACTTTATTATTATTTTTATAGGCAATTATCAGTTTCCCAAACATACCCTGGTGTTTGCGCATCAAGGCTGTATTATGACCGATTCAAAGCACTGGACAAATCCGGACAAATTTGAGCCAGAACGCTTTCTTGACGAGCATGGTCAATTTATGGATACAAAACCGGGCGCTTATATACCGTTCGGTTTGGGTCGGCGCGTGTGTCCGGGCGACACATTAGGCTATAATGAGTTATTTTTGTGCCTGGTCAATATTTTGCAAATGACCAGTAAATACAGCATTGAATTGCATAGCGATGAGGGGCTCGAGTCCGATATAGTATCGTATTTTGTATGCTATCCCCGTCCGTATAAACTTATTTTAAAGCCATATTAAATTTGCCTTGTAACATTCAGTATATATTCAATCTATTAAATATAATAGTTTTATTATTTAACTGATATATTTAAGGACAATTAATTAATTAGTTTGAGCACGAATAACTTATGGGGTAATAATTGAGGCAAAATTATTATATTACTTATTTAATTTATAAGTAATATATTTTTATTTGTTTGCATTTAATATTTTTCTTTTATAATAATAAAATAAACAATTTTTTAAAATAAAAAATTAATTTATATGTCATACTTAATAGTATTGGAGAGAGAGAGAGAGAGAAATTTACATAATAATTTGCAACTTTATAATTTTATATGCAGTTGTAAAGTTGTTGGTTTAAGCATTAACTACATTATACTGTATACAAGTGGCCATATGCAACATTTATTTTTCATTAAAATATATATATTTTTACAGTATTTTTTGTAAATTAAAGTGTCCACTTCTTAATTTGGGCAACCGGTCGGATGCTTTTTGGATGCTTTTTAGGTTGTTTTCATAGATATTAAAGTGTAATCTTTAATTTATTTGCTTATTAACAGGTCTTTTAGCGTTACTCAAAGAGAGAGAGAAAGAGATAAATGACGATATACTTTAATATATAGTTTTTAAAAATATTTGGTTGCCTTATTCTTAATTTAATATATTTATTATTTAAATCAATTTAAAACAGTTTTTTAATTAAAAAACAATTTTAGAAGTATGTTGCTAAAATACATTTTACACATCACTTCATATTGTATGATTAACATGATGACTTATGTATTATACGTAATTACTACAATATTTGCCAATAAAAATCTGTTTAAAATAGTAAAAATATGGCTTAAAGTAATTGCCCTTGATGTTCATGCAAATATTAGAAAAAAAACTTACATTTTAATCATCACCATATTTAACCCATATTAATAATAATTAACAATAATTAAATAATAAAAATTGTATTTGTTATAATATATATAAATTTGTAATTTTTATATTTAATTTATATTTACTATTTTATCGTTTAATTACAACTATTAAATAGTCACACAAAATATATATTTCTAACTCGTTAGTTATATCTTAAGATAAAAAATATGTGGTTAGAAATTTTTATCACGATTTTATTAATTAAATTATGGCAAAAATTTAGACCAAAAACATTTGTGACATCAAAGGGTAAAGCCGTGTTAATAACTGGTATGTTATAATTAATACAATATAATGTAAAGCGCTTTAATATAATCATGATACTTATATTGAATAACTTATGTCAATTGTTTAATTATTACTAATTTTTACAAAATAATAATACCGTTATTTATTACCTTAAAGGTTGTGACACTGGTTTTGGTCACAGACTGGCGCTGCGTCTCAATGAACTCGGGTTTCGGGTCTACGCGACCGTCATATCCGAGTCCAGTGCCGGCGCACAGCAGTTGACCTCTAAGGCACAGTTTGCCAACAAAATGCATGTCATAGGCATGGATGTGACCAAACATGATCAAGTTAAAAAGGCATACGACTATGTAACATTGCATTTAAACGAGAAAGGCCATGGTGATTACCTGTGGGCTTTAGTCAACAACGCCGGGGTTATGGCTGAGGGTCCCTTAGAGTGGGGATCACCCGAACAGTACGAACTGGTATTTGACGTAAATATGTTTGGACCGATACGAGTCACTCGTACTTTCCTACCCCTCATCCGCAAATCAAAAGGTAATTTGTAGCAATTATATTTCAGCATGAGCAAATTAATCAATTTAATCAACTATATTAATTATAATTAGTTTAAAAATTAATAATAATATTAATATATAAATTAATCTTGTCGGTATTAAAGGTCGCATAGTAAACATGGTAAGCATAATGGGCCGATTCTCGGTCAGCCCATTCGTCTGGTACTGTATGACCAAACACGCAATGATAGCCTTCTCGGACACATTACGCCGGGAAATGCGGTCATTTGGTGTACGTGTGGTGACTGTAGAGCCGGCGGGCTTTCGCACCGGTCTGGCCGACGAATCCAACAGGTTATCATCCCTGTGCCGACTTTGGCGCAAAACTGCGCCAGAAATTCAAAACGATTATGGTTTTAATACCGAAGACAACTTGCAAAAGATACTTGATCAAACGAATGACAATTTTAAACCGGGTACTAATCTGGATATTGTGGTCAATGATTTGTGCGATGCCGTACATAATGCTGAGCCCCGGGTTAGGTATACCCCCGTCGATGGTATTGTGGCTAAAATAATTGTGGCGATGATTATGCGTATTCCATCATGTTGGCTAGATCAAATGTTTTGGTTAACTCAAAAGACTGTTAAACCACAATAATTTACTGATTGAATTATTATAAAAAAATTATGATATTTTAAATTATGGTTTATTATTATATATTTTACATTATACTTTAATTTTATTGCTTTATTTTATATTAAATAACAAAATCATAACTTATTGAAATTAAGATTAAAATATTATTTACTAAAATATCATTTAATTTTGTAAGTAAAAATCTCTTCATTTTAAAATATATACTTTATATTAAGAGACGTGCAAAAATTGAAGGGAACTAAACAATATTGACGTGGTTTTTGATTCACCTTGTTAATTTGTTAACATTATATACGATTAAGCCATGAATAAGGTATAAATTACAAAAACATATTAAAATACTGTGTACGCCTAGATGTACGCACACAATCTTACTACTTTATATTAGAGTATTATGCATGCAATCGTGCCCATAGAAGCCCATGTTATGCATTGAAACCCATGTTATTTCTGATGCCGACCCCCCGTCAATTTTCCTCTCCCTATTCGCGCACTGTTTCACATTCCAGAGCAGGAGGACTGGGTATATAACCAGTGTCCAGTCCTCCAGCACTGGCATTACATGACTAGTTACTCATTATTACAGTATAGCTCTACCATCAAGTTACACAACTTTTTCTATTCACTTTATTTGTATACTTTTGTGCTTTAAATACTTATTAAATACTTTACTATTAATATTTGTGTATAATAATTAATAACGAGTGCCGGGAAGGAAAAGATCAGTCCCGGGAGGTAAGTGTATATTCCCGGCTATTAAAGCCATATTATCCGAAGCTAACCCCCATTATATTGTAATATTATTGTTTTATTGAACTATTAAGAGTAATGTATAAATTTTTAATTGTAATTAATCGCTAGGGTTATTGCATTTCAATGTAAAATAATTTTTATAGTATTTTTATTGTAATATGTCTATGCGGCTAAATTTAGATATATTATATAATCAACGATTGTATGATTAAATAATTTCTATGAATTAATAACATGATTAATAGAAACAATTGTTTATTATTACTATGCGTTAAATGACGAGACCAGTTTAATTATAAGTAACTTTAATTTAATACAGTACTCATCTCTTTTCAAATTTCAATTTAAACATAACAATGTAAAAATAAAGTATCCAATCATCTATGTGAGAATTGTTTGTGGGCAGAAAATTATTTTTAGAAAAAGCATGTATTGAATAGTTTATAATTCAAATTTAAATACAACGTTGCTTGCCATAACAAAATACAACTTGTTATCCTAACAAATGTTTTTATTTAATTGTTGTCTACTCTGTTACTGAGAATAGTAATAATTTGATGTTAGTTATTACAGTGAATTACCATATTTAAAAAAATTAATAAGAAATTTAAGCACCAATCTATGTACACGTATGTCCCATACTTTCAATATTAATTAAAGTCTACCATATGCCGAAATGCAAAATTTTATATTTCATATTACATTTAAAATAACAATTATAAAGAATCCTTGAATCATTTATATAATCATTAATGTTTATAATATAAACTTTATATGATATGCCATTTTATTTTAAAAATCAAACATAATTAACTGCAAATTTTTATTTACTAGTTATATTATAAATATTATTACTCAAAGTATAATTTAAAAATTAGGTTTAACAATTATGATTGATTTAATAAGGTAAATACTCGCTCGCTCGCTCTCTCTCTCTCTCTCTCTCTCTAAATAATCCACACTAAATAATAATTATAATTTACTCAATAGCATCGTAACATTTATTAAAAGCATTGGTCTAACCGGTATAATAATAGCTTTGGTAGTTTACTACATAGCACGTTTCTACACGAATCGCTACAATTATCCACCCGGACCATTTCCGTTACCATTAATTGGAAATGTACTTGGTGAGCATAAACTTAATTTTACGTTATTAAATACGCATTTGTACATAGATTGCGTGTATCATTGTACTAAACATTTACCTTGATAACACATTACAGAATTTCGCAAATACAAACGCCATTGGTCGGAGGAGATTGTTCATTTTAAGTACAAATATGGCCCGGTGTTTACACTATGGATCGGACCCCTGCCATTTGTGATCATCTGCGATCTCGATATAGCCCGCGAGTCATTTAATAAAGTTGAATTTTCTGGACGCCCAGCAATGCCACTGGGTAATTATTTGTATTAATTAATTTAACACACCAAGTGTATTGTGTATAACCTATTCAGTTGTTTAACTAAAATTTATTTATTTAATGTAGCTAACATATTCTGCAATGAAAAGCACAAGGATGTTTTACTCAACGATTATGGTAAATGTTGGGAAAGTCTACGGCGAGTGGCGCATAAAGCTGTCCGGTAGTACATTAACATATAATTAAATACATTATACTTGGTTGTAGTATAGGAACTAGTAAAGGAACTATAGGAATTTTACTGTAACAGTGATTATAATGTAACTTAGCATATACACAGATTTATCTCCAGTAATATTATCTAAAATTTTTTAAGTCATTTGATTATTATGGTACAAGAAATAGACTATTTTTGGAACCAATATTTAATAAAAATTATCAATGTTAAATCTGCGTACATGCAAAGTTACAATATTGTTACTTTAAGGGTTCCAATACAATTGCTATTAATACACCAAGTTAGCGTAAATGTATTGAATGCTATTATTTTTGAATTATTATTTATCATTATTTTTATAATTTATTAAATATAAACTAACATGACAACATCACAAACATGGTAGAAATTACGCCAAAACAGAGGCATTGTCCGAAGTGGTGGCCATAAATGTGCGCCAAATGGTTAATAGTATTATCAATACTGAAGGCATCGGTAAACCATTTCCAGCCAAACTGTACGCATACAATCTGTTCGCCAATATCTTGGGCTCAGTTGTATTCAGCGAAAAGTAAATAAATAAAACTTATATTGGATAAAATTACTTGCTACCCACAAATTAGTATAGCATAAAATAAAATTATCTAACAATTTTAACATTATGTTTATAAACTATATTTGCATTTGTATAGGTTCGACATTGAACAACCAGAGTTGAAAAAGTTTAAATATATCACCACCGACTTTCAAACTGACCTGGGCAGCTCCATGTTTGTTTACGAGTTTATACCGATTGCGCGCTATTTTATGGCAAACCCTTTGGCTAAATATGAACAATACTTCAACGAAATGATGAATTATACGCGAAATATATACCAAAAACACAGCAAAACTTATGACAGCAAATGTTTGCGTGACTTTTGTGATATACTTATCGCCGCTAAACACGAGGCCATTGCCGACGATAAACAGTCGGCACAATATTTTACCGATGATAACTTGTTGGCGACATTAAGTGATCTGTTTATAGGTATTTCATTTATAAAACATATATAAAATTTTATAAACTATAATTTATAATTAGGCTAACATTATTTAAACCACTCAATACTTTATAAAATATATAAGGTTTTATATTAAAAATGCAAAATTTATAATAAAATAATTTAATTAAACATGTTTAAAATATATTATACAATAAAATACTACTATATTACAGCTGGTGTGGAGACCTCGCAAAGTACATTTATGTGGATAATGTTATTCATGGCATACTATCCGGATTACCAGGATAAATTACACAATGAGATCAATCATGAGATCGGCGATCGGGTGCCTGTAATTGAGGACAAATCTTGCCTTAACTATACGCTGGCGTTTGTATCCGAGATATTACGGTACAAAAATCCTGCGCCGATGGGTGTCCTTCACAAAGCTCTGGTCGACAATAAATTGGGTTGGAATTTTTATATAATTATTTTTTTAAAAATTTTATACTAAATTATACCATAATTAACATTATTATAATTATCAAGTAAATATAATGTAATAAAAAAATTGAAATGTTAAAGTAAAAATATATGTTATAAAAAGTATAGATTGCAATGTACTGAACAATATTTAATAGTTATTGTTTATTATTATTGTATTTAATATCAAATTAGGTGAACATCCAGTGCCAGAAGGAACTAGCTTGTTAGTTCATCAGTCTTCGATCATGATGGATCCAAAACATTGGACAAATCCGGACAAATTTCAACCAGAACGATTTCTCGACGAGCATGGTCAATATTTGCAAACAAAATTCGCCGCTTATATGCCGTTTAGTTGCGGTCGCCGTATATGTCCGGGAGAGACGCTGGCTATTAATGATTTGTTTTTAATATTAGTCAATTTTTTGCAACTGACTAAGGAATATCGTATTGAGTTGCATACTGAGCATGGTAAAAATACACGGGATGTGATTGAGCCTGATTTAAGTACACAAGCCTTGTATTTTCCCAAAGCATATAATATTATTTTAAAACGTAAATAAAAAATAATATTTTCATATTATGTAATTTTTGTTCAAAAATACAAAACCTAAACTAGAAACTTTTAATGTGCTATAATATATTATTTTAAATAAAATTATTATTATATAAAACTACTATTTATATAAACCTTATAAAAATATTGATATTTGTCGCGTATTGAAGTGGTTAATCATAGCAGTCAACTCACCCACGAGCAATTACAGCTACAAGTCCTCTAGGTCCTTTTATGCCAAATGTGTATTAAGTTATGTAATCAATCAATTAATGTACATTTGTATTATCTCATTGCAAACATTTATTAATATTAGCATTAACATTAACTAAAGTTTAATGTTATTATTTTAACCATGGTTTTATATTATTAAAGTGACAATGCCAAATGTGAGCGATTTTATAAACCACATTATTCATACTGTATTGTGATAAAAAATATTATAAATTTAGTAACAAGTTAATAATAAGTTAATCTGCAAAATGAACTATAACTACCATTGATTATCTATATTTTTAATTCAAAAATTATATAAAAAATTATAACTACATTTTAAAATATTAAATAATATATCAATTTAATATATTTTATTGTATTTTTGATAATTATCACGTTAAATTAAAAACATTGGGCAAACACAAATAAATATCGATATATTAATAACTTCTTGAGAATAAATTCATGAAAGTTTCACTTTAAGCATTAATGCTAAAAGGCCAAGTAGCTGAATGACGATGAAATGGCCTAGGAGAGTATAACAATTAATTTGATAATTTATAAGATCACTTATAAATATAATAATACACTAACTAATTAACCAGTTGCAATTTCTCCACATATCATCATCATCTAAATGATATTTATGTAGTGCTAGAGGTACTTGCCCGTCAAAGCACCGGTCAATTACCATATTTAAAAAATTAGCAGGAAATTCAAGCATTAATCTATGTAAATGTACACCTATGTCCCATACTTTCAATATTAATTAAAGTTTACCATATGCCGCAATGCAAAATTTTATGAATGATTCAATATATACTTTATAATTTAAGTTCAACAATAATGATTGATTTAATAAGGTAAATACTCTCTCTCTCTCTCTCTCTCTCTCTCTCTCTCTCTCT